GGATTCATTAAGAAACCCTCAATGACTCTGAACACACTGTTTCCTTTGGAAAGATTCAGAGCCTCATTCTGATAATGATAGAAGCACTGAGAATAGCACTTAGCCTCATGAACACCTTACAAAAGACCCTGAAATTATACTAAACTCTGAGGTTGGCTCTAAAACTTAGTGTTGCCTTGCAAAAGGCAATGAGACCTATGGAGACCCTTGGGGAGGCAGTGAGCACATGATGTGTTTGTGGATAGTGCTGATCTGCACTGAGAGCTGGGAAGGCAATGAGATCACTAAGTCTTGGGAAAGTTGTCCCTACATCTGTCAATGTAAGGAGGGCCCTTTGTCTTCCTAAAACTCTGATGAATATTTTGAACAGAATAGAGACAACAGTGAATGAAATTAATGAACCTGAGTCTTTTGTTGAAGACTTGAGCCCTTCTAAACACAGGGAAATATTACAGGCACCATGAAGACCATGTGGAACTTTCTAAACAAGATTGAAATTCTGAGGAAGACCATGAACCCTCCTGAGACAGTGGGGTTGGCCCTGTGGCTCCCTGACACTGGAAAAGACACTAAATCCCTTTGATAACCTGAGTCTCACTATGATTCTGTGGTAGGCCCTGATAATTAATGTAAGCTCAGAAAACTCACTGAGTGCCTAGGAAGATAATAACACCATTAGTTCTATGGACAAGGCCCTGGGCACCACTTTGACCTTTGTAATGTACTAAAACTCAGTAAGACACTGACTTACATTGAGGAACAGTGTTACCCTAGGAATGGCAATGAATTCCACTGATAAATGGGGACAAGTGCAGAGAGTTCCTGAGACCCTGGCAAAAACTCTAAACCTAGTGTGTCTTCAGGGAACTATCTAACCCTATTTAGATTCTGACAATAGCACTCAAAGTGACTGAGACACTGCAAATGACCCTGAGAAAAAAATGGGAGTGTAGTAATGATTAAGAGTTCCACTGAAGACCTTGGAAACACCTTTGGCTCCATGAAAACCTGGGAAACATCTTTTCCCATGCTGGGAATGTCCAAGAGCTCAAATGAATGCCCAAGGAATGGAAGCAGAGCACTAAGACTTTGAGGGAGCATCCTGAGAATGACTGTGAACACGAGGAGACCAAGAAACCCCATGATGCCCCAGGACAAAAACCCAATCCCATTGAATCAGTACCAAGGCCCATGATACTCCTTTGTGACCTTCAAAAGCTCTGAATATCACAGATACACTGAGAAAATGCTGAACAGCAATTAAAAACCAGTGAAGGCCCTGAATTCCCAGAGATTATTTTGAAGACCCATGAATCACACAAACGCATGGAAGGTCTCTGAACAGACCTGAAACTCTGTGGACAGCCCTGAGTCACACTAACATGCTAGAGATTGCCCTAAGCACTACACACTGTGGAAGGCATAAAGTTACTCAAGAAAATATGGGAAAGCCATGAGCTTCATGGTTGAGCTTGAAAAAAAAAACAACTGGAACCCAAAAAGTTCCTGGGAAAGATCCACCACCCTGCTAAGAGCCTCATGTGCCCTGTGCACAACTCTCAGCCTGTACATTGACAGCCTTTAGCCTCACAGAAGCTCTGGGGAACAATCTGAGACCCAAGAATAGCTGAGATCTCAAAAAGCACACTAGAGAATTCCTTGAGCCCACGTAGATGAGCAGGGAAAGCACAGAGCTAGAGGGAGACCCTGGAGAAGACCCTGAGCTTACACTAGCAGACATGGGGTAGCCCTGAGTGCTGCTGACACGGTGGGGTAGGCCCTGAGCACCACTATGACAAAGGGAATAGCCTTGAATTTCAACAGCACACTTGGCAAGGCTGTATTTCAATGAGACACTATGAAAGGTGACCAGAATGCTGTGGAAGAATGTGAACACTAACTAGATGTACCCCAGAGTTCCGAAATCCACTGAAATGGTGCATAGGACTCAATACAATACTTGAAGAGGCCTCACACACACAATCACACTTTGGGGAGATGTGGAGCACAGGTGTGATACTGAGAACAAAGCTTAGCTTGACAGAGGACTTGGGGAAAGCCTTGGAATTCATTGAAAAATCCTTAATGGACTGAACACACAATATTGTTTTAGAAATATTCAAGCCACACTCCAAGGCTGGGAAAAGCACTAAGAGACTCGAGAAAGCCAAGAGATTCTGAGATATTGACAATAGCACTGAGCCTCATGGACAACCTGAAAAAGACACAGAAATAAATAAGAAACCCTGAAGTTGGCTATGAAACTAAGTGTTCCCCTGCAAAAGGTCATGAGACCTATTGAGACCCTTGGAAATCCCCTGAGCACAGAGTAAACTGTGAATGTTGCTCCTCTGCTTCCAAAGGGAAGAAGACCACTAAGACTCTTGGGAAGGTTATGCAGACACCTGTCTACCTAAGGAAGGGCCTTTTTTCTTCCTACAGATCTGTAGATATTTGAACATCATTGAGACAACAATAAAATTAATGAATCTCTTGTTGAAGTTTTGAGCCTCATCTAAAAACCATGAAGACCATGTGGACATTTCTGAACAAATTGAAATTCTGGGGAAGAACTTGAGCCCTCCTGAGACTCTAGGGTAGATTCTGAGGCCCATGGACACTGGGTAATACTCTGAGCCCCTCCAATACCCTGAGTGTTAGTAATTCTGGGATAGGCCCTGATTATCAGTGTAACCTGGAAAGACTATACATTCATTAAGAGTCTGGGTAGCCAATGACACCACTAAGATGTTTAAGAAAACCCTGGGTACCACTGTGACCCTGGAGAATGCTCTGAGAAAACTCACTTTCTGGGCTGACCATGAGCAATTATGTGACCCAAGGAATGGCAATGGACTTCACAGAGAACCTTGGAAAGGTGCTGAGGACTACTGAGACCCAGGCAAAAACTCAGACACAAATGAATCTTTGGGGAACTACCTAAGCCCTGGTGAGACACTTGGAATAGCCCTGAACATGACTGAGAAACTGCAAATGGCCATGAGAAAAACAGATCCTGATAATGGGCATAAGTTCCACTAAGGCCCTAAGCAAGTCCATTGGCTCTTTGAAAACTTGAAGAACATCCTGAACCACACTGAGATGCTGGGAATGTCCAAGAGCTCAACTGAATACACAGGGAAGAAAAGGAGAAGTCTAAAGCTCTGGGGGAACACCTTGAGCCAGACTCTCAGATTGGAGAAGACAATAGAACCCACTGACATGCTAGATTGGAACAAAAATCTATAAAAAAAAGTACCAGTGTTTATGAGTCTCCATACAGTCCTGCAAAAGTCCTGAATTCCAGTGATACTATGGGAAAAACCATGATAATAATTAAAAACCAGAGAAGGCCCAGAATACCAAAAGACACTTCTGAAGCCCTTTGAATCACATAAATCCATGAAAAACATCTGAACTCCAATAAAATACTATTGAGAGACCTTAGTCTCACTGAAATCCTAGAGATTTTCCTGAGAACTACAGATACATGGTGGGAGGCATTGATACCCACTAAAGAACCTGGGAAAACCATGAACTTCATTGTTGATATTGAAAAGCATTGAGACATGAGGATATCCTGGGAAAGACCCACAGTCCCACTTAGACCCTGTTGGAGGGCTTCAACACCACAGTAACCCTATTGAAGGCCTTTTGCCTCACAGAAGTTCTGGAGAGGAATCTGAGACCTGTCAACCTAAGGTGTGGTCCTTCACCTTTCTAAGATCTGAAGAATAGTCTCAACACATTTGAGACAACAATGAGTGAAATTATCAAATCTGACACTCTTGGTGAAGCCTCTTCTAAACACTGGGTAACATTTCACACATCATGAACACCCAGTGGAACATTCCAAACATGACTGAAATTCTGGGGAAGGCCTTGAGCCTTTGAGAGATTAGGGGGCAAAAAATCTCAACTGGATTCAGGAAGAAGGAAAGGAGAACATGGAGACAATTTGGGAACAACATGAACTTGACTGTCAGACAGGAGGAGACCATGAAACCCACAGACATCCTGAGTGGGACCCACAATCCACCAAATCAGTACCAGAGTCCATGAGTCTTCTTAGTAACCTAAAAAAAAAGTCCTGAATTCCCTTAACAACAATTAGAAACAAGTGGAGACCCTCAATGCCAAAAGACACTTTTAAAGGCCTTTGAATCACACAAACTCAAGGAAAGTATCAGTACACATCTGAAAGTCTCTGTTCAGACCTGAGTCACATGGAAATCCTGGAGACTTTGCTGAGAACTACAGATACACTGTGGAAGGCCTTGAAGACCACTAAAGAACATAGGAAAGCCATGAGTTCATTATTGAGCTTGAAAACACTGAGACACAAGGACACCCTGGGAAAGTCCCACAGTCCCACTTAGACACTGGTAGAAGCCCTCAACTCCACTGTAATATGCTGAAGACCTGTAGCATCACAGAAAATTGGGGAAATAATTTAAGATTCAATAATATCTGAAATATCAAAAAATACCCTAGAAAATACCCTGATCCCATGTAAGTTACTGGGGAGAACACTGATCCAGACTGAGACCCTGGAGAAAGCCCTGAAATAATAGTAAGAAATATGGGTAGCCCTAAGTGCCAGTGACACAGTAGGAAATGCCCTGAGCACCATTGTGAAAGTGGGAATATCTCTGTGTTACAATGCCACACTGGGTAAGCCTGTATTCCTCAGTGAGATATTAGCAAAACCATCTCCCCCTCCTAAATGCTGTGTAAGAATCAGAGTACCACTAAATATTGTGCAGAGTTCTTAATCCAGTGAAATAGCTAGGGTAGGTCTTAGGCCTCACCAAGATTCTTGGGAAGGCTGAGATACTCAGTCAAACTCTGGGGAGGATGCTGAGCATCTTCATTTGCAGCTGTGAAGCTGTAAATGGCACATACCTCCACAGAGACACTGGGCAAGGTACTGGGATTCATTGAGAATCCCTGAATGCCCCTGAATTCAGTGTTTCTTTTGGGAATATTTAGAGACTTACTTGAAGCTGAAAAAAGCACTGAGCATCCTGGAGATTTTGAGAGTAGCTCTGAGCCTCATACACAAACTGTGAAAAAAAAAAACATGAAATAATAGACACTCTGAGGTTGGCTCTGAAACATCATGTTCTTCTGCAAAAAGCAGCAACACCAATTGAGAATCTTAAAAAGACCCTGAGCACATGGTGAAATTGTGAATGGGGCTGACCTGTACTGAGAACCTGGGAAGGCACTGAGATTACTAACACTTTGGAAATGTTGTGCACACATCTGTCAAACTAAGGAATATCCCTTCACCTTCCCAAGAATATGAAGAATATTTTGAACACCATTGAGACCACAGTGAATGGAATTAACCAAACTGAGACATTGGTAGGAGCCTTGAGCATCTTTTAAACACCAGGCAGGATTCCATGCACCATGAATAACATATGGGCTCTTCTAAACAACAATGAAATTCTGAAGAAGGCCTTGAGCACTCCTGAGAATCTAGGGTAGGCCCTGAGGCCCTCTGACACTTGGAAAGACCCTGAGCTCCTTAACACCCTGAGTGTCACAAAGATTTTGGGGTAGGCCCTGATCATCAATGAAAACTAGGAAGACGATAGATTTACTTAGTACCTCAGAAGGCAGTGACACTGCTAAGACTCTGCAGAAAACCTGGGTAACACTGGGACCCTGAGAAATGCCCTGATACTCTGCAAGGCTCTGTGCTTTCCCTGAGTAACTCTGTGACCCTGGAAATGGCAATAAACTCAACTGAGAACATAGGAAATGTGCAGAGATTTACTGAGACCTTGGCAAATACTATGAACCCGTGTGTCTTTAGGGAATTATCTAAGCCCAGGTGAGAGTCTGGGAATAGCAATGAACATGAATGAGACTCTACAAAGGCCCCAAGGAAAACTGAAAGCTTGGTGATGGTCATGAGTTCCCCTGAAGCCCTGGGTAAGACCTTCGGCTCTTTGAATAACTGGGGAACATCATAAAACTCACTGAGGAGGTGGGAATGTCCAAGAGCTCAACTGAATGAGTGAGGAAGGAAAGAAGAACACTAAGACTCTGGGGGAACTCTCTGAGCATGACTGTGAGACTAAAGGAGTCCATGAAACCCACTGAGACCCTGGACAAACCCCCAATCCATGAACCAGTAGCAGAGTCCATGAGCCTCCTTTGTGACCTGCAAAATCCTTGAATTTCACTGATACAGAGAAAATCCCTGAACACCACAAAGAAAGCAGTGAAGGCTCTGAATGCAAAAAAAAAAAAAAAAGAAAGAAAGAAACTTTCTTTTTAAAAATAAATCACCTTGAATTTTATTTTATTCTATTTAAGAAAGAGTGAGAGAGAGGGAGAGTGAGAGAGAATTTTTTAATATTTATTCTTTAGTATTTGGCGGACACAACATCTTTGTCTGTATGTGGTGCTGAGGATCGAACCTGGGCCGCACGCATGCAAGGCGAGCGCGCTACCACTTGAGCCACATCTCCAGCCCCAGAAAGAAACTTTTGAAGGCCTTTGAATCACATAGACTCATGGAAGCATCTGAACACTCCTGAAATTTAATGGATAGTCCTGAGTCACAATGAATTCCTGAGATTGTCCTGAGAACTACACCTACACAGGGCAAGGCCCTGTGGTCCCACAAAGATCATGGGAAACCCCTGAGCTTCATTGTTGAGCTTGAAAAAGAATGAGACACAAGGACACACTGGGAAAATCTACTACCCCATGTAGTCCATGGTGGAGGCCCTGAACATTACTGTAAATCATTACTGTAATTACTGTGAGGCCTTTAGCCTTACAGAAGCTCTAGGGAAGAATCAGAGACATGTTATACCCGAGATTTTCAAAAAGGGATTATTAATTCCCTGAGCCCTTGTAAGTCTTTGGGGAAAGCACTGAGCCAGACAGAGACTGGGGAGAATACCCTGAGCTTACACTGAGAAACACAGGCTAGCCATGAGTGCCCCTGGTGCAGTAAAGAAGGCCCTGAGCACAACAATGATAATGGGAATAGGTCCATGTTACAAGGACACCGGGGGCAGGTCTGATTTCCCAATGAGACACCTAGTGAAGGACATTATTTTTACAGAATAGTATAACAGAATCTGGGCACCATTTGATTTTTGGAGAGTTCTAAAGACCACTATAAAAGAGTAGTATACTCCCTAGGCTACACTAAGATTTTTGGGCAGGTTCTGACACAATCAAACACTGGGCAACCTGCTAAGCATCAGTTTGAAGCTGAAACTAGAGTTTAGCTTAACTGAGAACCTGGGAAAACCCTGGGATTGACTGAGTAACACTGAACAGCCCTGAAGCCTGTGTTTCCTCTGGAAGATTCAGAGCCTGGCTTCAAGGCCAGAAGAACAACTAAGCATCACTGAGACTCTGAAAAGAGCACTGAGCCTCAAAAAAAAAAAAAATGGGTCAAAGATGCTGAAAGAATAGGTGCCTCCAGGTTGGCTCTCAAACTCAGTGTTCCTCTGCAAGAGCAAGAGATCTAGTTGATGTTTTCAAGGGTCCTGAGCACATGGTGAAATTGTGAACAAGGCTGATCTTCACTGAGATGCTGGGAAGGCAAGGAGGAAAATAAGACTTTTGTGTACATGTGCACACATTGGTTCATGGAAGGAAGGGACCTTCACTATTTTCAGAATATGAAGAATGTTTTGAACAGTAATGAGAATACACTCGATAAAATGAAAGTGAATGTTTCGTTGAAGGCTTGAACATCATGTAAACACTGGGTAGTATTCCAATGAGTACCATGAAGACCATGTGAAATTTTGTAAACAAGACAGAAATTATGTGGAAGGCTCTGAGCCCTCCTGAGTGTCTAGGGGATGTCTGAAGGCTCACTGACAATAAAAATACCTGACCCCTCTGAAACCTTCAGTGTCACTAAGATTCTGGGATAGGCCCTGATTATCTGCATTATCCGGGAATATTAGAGCATCATGGAGGGTCTGGAAAGGAATGGAAACACTGAGACTCAGCAAATAAGCCTTGCCTACCATTGTGACCCTGAGAGATGCCCTGCAACTCATTTAGACTCTGGGGTGGCCCCGGGAAGAGCAATGAACTCCACTGACAAAAAAAAAAAACAGCAATGAACTCCACTGGAAAAAGGTGATGAGACTTCCTGAGACTCTGGCAAAGTCTTGGAAACCAGTATGTGTTTGCAAACTATCTAAGCCCTGGTGAGGCTCTGGGAATAGCACTGCAAATGACAGAGACATTGCCAAAGGCCCTAAGAAAAATTGAGCATGGTAATTGCCATGAGATCCACTGTGGTCATGGGCAAGTCCTTTGGATTTTTGAAGAGCTTGGGAATGTCCTGAACCTCCCTGAGATGCTGGAGATGTCACAAAGCTCAACTGGATGCATGAACAAAATAAGCAGAACATGAAGGCATGGGAAAAACACCCAGAGCATGAGCCTGAGCCTGAAGTAGACCATGAAATCAAGAGACACTGGGAAAGAACACACAGTCTACTAAATCAGTACCAAAGCCCAGTCCTTAGTGACCTGCAAGAGCCCTGAATCTCAGTGGGATACTGCAAAAAGCCCTGAAAAACAATCAGAACCCAGAAGACCCAAATTGCCAAGAGAATTTTTGAAGCCAAACAAGCAAACTCATGGAGAGCTTCTGAACACCACTGAAATTCTATGGACAGCTCTGAGTCACTGGGAAATCCTGGAGATTGTGGTGAAAACAACAAACACACTGTGGAAGACATTGAGGTCCTGTAAAGTACATGGAGGGTCATGATCGCCATATTAAGTGAGAAAAGCATAGAAACACAAAGAGACCCTGGGAAAGCTCCACAATCCCTCCAGATCCTGACATCAGCCGTGAACCCCACTGTAAATCTCCCGAAGGTCTCTAACCACAGAAAAGCTGTGGGGAACAACAGGAGGCCCAATGACAACTGAGATCCCCAACAAGAGCCCAGTGAGTTCCCCGAGTGCCTCCAAGTCATTGGAGAGCACTGAGCTGGACTGCGACCTGGAGAAAACCCTGAGCTGACATCAAGAAACATGGAGAAGCCCTGAGTGCCTGTGACGCAGTGGGCAAGGCCCTGAGCACAGCCATGACAATGTGACTATGCCTGTGTCACAAGGACACGGGGCAAGTACACATTTCCCAATGAGACACTAGTGAATGCCATTATTATCACAGAGGAGTGCAAAGCATCTGAGCACTACTCAGTATTTTGTAGATTTCTAAAACCCATTGGAAGTGTAGGAAAAATGCTAGGCCTCACTACCATATTTGGACAGGCCCTATCAGACAATCAAACACTGGGCAACATCATGAGAACAACTGCAAACCTGAAAATGGAGTTTACCATCACCAAAAATCTGGGAAAACCCTGGGATTCATTGAGTAACTCTGAATGGCACTGAAGGCAGTGTTTTCTTTGGATGATTCAGAGCCTGGCTCCTAGGCCAGAAGAAGAACTAAACATCTGGGAGACTCTAAAATAGCATCAAGACTCATGAACAACCTGTAAAAACCCTGAGATAACAAGAGCCTATTAACTTAGCTCTAAAAAAGAGTTCCCTTCAAAACACCCTGAGACCTCTTGAGTCTTTTGGTAAGGTTCTGAGCACATGGAGACATTGTGAATTGTACTGATCTGCACTGAGAGCCTGGAAACCAAAAAGTATGACAAACTATCAGGAAGGTTGTGCAGACACCTGTCAAAAGGAGGAAAAGTCATTCCCTCAAATAAAGGAAGTGCCCTTTACCTTTCTACAAATAAGAAGAATATTTTGAACCCCAATGAGACTATAGTGAATAAAATTCATGAATGTGAGATGCTTTGGGAAGACTTGAGCATATTCAGAAAACTGGGCAATAGGTCAATCAGTACCATAAAGACCACAGTGACATTTGTAAAAAGACTGAAATCCTGGGGAAGGCCTTGAGCCTTCCAGATTGTCTTAGGTAGGCCCTGAAGCACATGACAATGCAAAAGATTCTGAGCTCCTTTAAAACTCTCTGCCCTTAAGACTATGTGGTAGACCCTGATCATGTGAGTAACCTGGGAAGACT